GGACTCGGCTAGATCGGACGGCCGTCCACAGCGGTGGCCATTCGCTCGTTCCTTCCAATCCCTTCCCTCCCCTCTCCTTCGGGAGGGAGGGGAAGCCCCTGACACCCAACAGGTGCCAAGCGCCGGCGGCGTTTTGATGCGTCTGGTGTCCCATTCTCTTCGGCTCAAGATGGCTCCAAGAGGGCCTCTCAACGGGCTACGAAGGCAGCCCAGGATGGCCCCAAAACGCTACCAAGACCGCCCAAGATGCCCTCCTGAGAGGCCCAAGACGGCGTGGATATGATGTCAAAACGACACGACGACACAAATGGAGCGACGAAAGAGCTTCAGGAGGCCGAGAAGGAGCCAAAAGGAGCCCCGAGGGAGCCAAAAGAGATCCCAGAGGGATTCACCAGGGAGCCAAGAGGAAAACAAGGGAGCCAGTGGACACAGACTTGAGCCACCAAGTAGAAGCCGCCACGCGGGGGCCACGAGGGAGCCCAAAGGGAGCCCAAAGGGAGCCACGAGGGAACCGAGAGGGATCCCAGAGGACGCCACGAGGGAGCCAGGTGGGAGCCAAGAGGGCAGCCTACCGGTACGGCGGCAGCGCGCACGGTCCAGCGTACAAAGTGGGGCTACGTGGGGCGACTGACACAACTGCGGCGAGCAGGGTCGGGCGTACCACCCCGGCTATATCGGCCTACTAGTACGATCGCATGGGGCGTACTAGTAAGGCAATGCACAGTCGAGCTTGATTGGAGAGGACACGCGAGAGGACACAGGACCCTTCCGAGGGCCGCCCACAGGAATGTAGAACGCATGGGTCGCGAGAAACAGGACACAAGGGTACCCTTGACTTGGCAGGGTCGACCTACTAATCAGGGCCGACTGTAGGCTTCGAAAAAAGACGGCGCGTGTCAGGCGAGACATACCTATAGAGGCCCACTAGTACGACTGCTGCGTGCAGGGTCGGGCGTACTAGCACCACTACGTAGGCCTACCAGTAGGCGGGGACACGCGCACGGTCTGACGTCAGAGTATGGCTACGTAGGGCTACTAGTACTACTGCGGCGAGTAGGGTCGGGCGTACTAGTACAGCTACATCGGCCTACTAGTACGATCGCATCGGGCATACTGGTAGGGCTATGTAGGCTTCGGAAAAAGACGGCGCGTGTCAGGCGAGTCGTTCTAGTAGGGCTGCGTAGGCCTACTTGTACGAATGCAGCGTGCAGGGTCGGGCATACTAGTGTGACTGCGTACGCCTACTAGTACGGCGTCGGCGTGCACGGCGAGTCGTACTAGTAGGGCTACCTAGGCCTACGAGTACGATCACGAGGCGTACAAGTAGGGCGAAGCAGGCCTACTAGTACGATCTCCGGGCAAAGCAAGCCTTCTCTGCAAGCAAGAATAGATAGAAACCGACAGGAATCATTAAGGATCAACAGGAATCAACAGGAATCAATAGGAATGAATAGGAATAAACTGGAATCAACAGGAATCGCTAGAAATCAATAGGAATGAATAGAAATTACTAGGAATCATGAGGAATCACTCCGAACCAATGAATATATAGGAGTCCATAGAAATTCAAAGGACATGTCAGCAGCGGGGAGTTTCCAGCGCGACAACACAAAACAGGGGGTAGCATTGATATACATACATAGCTTATATACATACATACATACATACATACATACATACATACATACATACATACATACATACATGCATGCATGCATGCATGCATGCATGCATGCATACATACATACATACATACATACATACATACATGCAAACCAACAACTCTGCATACATACATGACAAACTAACATACATACAAACACACAAACAAACAAACAAACAAACATGCATAGCTACATGCACACGTACGTACGCACGTGATTACGTACATACATACATACACACATACATGCATGCATGCATGCATACATACATACATACATACATACATACGTACGTGCGTACATACATACATACATGTATGCATACATGCATGCATGAATATATGCATGCATGTGTGCATACATACATGCACACACGTACAGACATTCGTGCATGCATACATACATACATGCATACATGCATGCATGCATACATACATTTCGACCGACCGATCAACCGAGCGCCCGCCGACCGACAGACCGACCTACTGACAGACAGACAGACAGACAGACAGACAGACAGACAGACAGACAGACAGACAGACAGGCAGGCAGGCAGGCAGGCAGACAGACAGTCACACAGACACACACACACACACACACACACACACACACACACACACACACACGCAGACAGACAGACAGACAGGCAGGCAGGCAGACAGACAGATAGACAGATACGCACATAATTACATACAGACAGACAGACAGACAGACAGACAGACAGACAGACAGACAGACAGACAGACAAACAGACAGACATGCAGACAGACAGGCGGACATGCATGCATGCATGCATACATACACACACAGAACACATCCTGGCCAGGCCCATCCAAGACCCAGGATCGGTGCATACGCTCATCTTGCCCAGCCAGGGGGGCATGTGCATCGAGCCTGGTCCCAGGATGGGCATAGCCGGGATCGGTGTACGTGCACGGCCCTCGTCGACCAGAAGGGCCACGGAGGGCAGAGCCGAGGTCGACGAGAAGCTGGGGGCTCGCCTGCACACCGCAGTCCACGCGGCCAGAAGGGCGAACGCCGCGGCCAGAAGGGCGAGGGCGACCACAGCAACCTCCCCTGCCTTCCCGCTCTCTCGCACGGCGCTCTGCACCTCTCGCTCCCACAACCCACCTCTCCGTTCAGCCAACTCCCAGGCACGCTGGTCCTTGTAACTTCTGCCCCATAGCATAAAATCTGTAAGAACAGGAGTGGCCACCCCGATAAGGCTGTGAGGACTGCTCGGGCCTTGCGCCCGGTGGTAGCTGGGGCGCAGTCCGAGGAAGACCTTACCCCCCAACGCATGGTGGCACGTGCTGCGGGCGCGTCCGGGGCATTGGGCGGGAGAGCGGCGCTGTGACACCGGACGGGGACAAGCAACGGACTAGGGATCCGTGGGCGCCAAATCCACGGATCGGGAAGGTACCCCATAAGAATGAGGCCCGTGCCGCCTCGTCTGGCGACCGAGCGCGCGGTGGTGATTATGGTGGTGGCGGTGGCTTTCCCTGCACCGCATGGCCTGAGCTGCCCAGCGGTCGACTGTTTTTGCTCTGTCCTCTGGAGTTTTCAGCCATGCGAACGCATTCACGCAGAGTGGATACCTCGCCTCTGCCGCAACCAAGCTTGGTCGCTCTCGAGCCGGTGATTACTCTCCGTCCCCGCGTCGAGCGCAAAAAACGTAGTGGCGGTGGTGCTGGAACATCAGTGATGTCGGTAATGATGTGGGAGGTGGCGGCTGGCGTGGCTATGGCGGCAGTGGCGGCGGAGCTGGCGGCGGCAGCCATGGCGGCGGCGAGGAGTGGAAAGCAGCGGTGCCAGGCAGTAGCCCTCTTCATACCTCTCCTCCGCCCGCCCCCTCCTGACTTCCCTGCCTGTTCCTTCTCTTGCCCTTCCAGTCCATCCCGCCCCCCATCACCTCATTTCTCCGTTCCCTTCCCATTCCTCTATCCTCATATCTCGCCCTCCTCCTCCTCCTCCGCCTCCTCCTCCTCCTCCTGCTCCTCCTCCTCTGCCTCCTCATCGCCATCCTCCTCCTCCTCCGACTCGTCCTCCTCCTCCTCGTCCTCCGTAACCATTTTGGCTCAAAGGGCCTTCTCCTGACCTTCCAACCTCGCTCAAGCAATTGAGGCGTGTCTGTTTGTTCGGATTGATCGCACCAGAGACTGTGGCCAGGGGTTCGCGTCCCCATGACGAAATCCCAGTATGTGCAGTGTCGGCAGTGCGGCTATCAGTGGAATTGGCGCATGCGAGAAGCATGCTTCAAGTGTGGCGGAGGCCTTCAACCGAGTCCGAAGGAGGTGCAGCCACCCCAAGGACAGTGGTCGTTGCCATCACCGCCACAGCCGCCGCCGCAGCCATCTATCCCGCTTCCATCGCCGCAGCCTGTTTGGCCTCTGTTCCCGCAGCAGTCGCAGAACATTCGGCCACAGCGTCACCTCCCCGTTCGCCTTGCCGCCGAGGCCCGCAGCACCGCCGCCCGCGTTGCCAGCGGATGCGATGAGCTACGACCAGCAGGGCAACTGGGTGACGCAGAAGAAGAATAAAAAGAACCGAAAGAAGAAGAAGGGCGGCGTCATCGGCCTGGACGCTGACGATGCGGTGCTGGAGGACGCCTTCGCGGTCATCGCGAAGAGGCTGGACCCCGAGGCCATGAAGGAGCTCAAGAGTAACGTCGTGACGCCGCCCAAGCCTATTCACACCCTTCTACATGAAGTCAGTCTCAAGCAAGCTGCTGAAGCCGCTCGTGCCGCCATCAAAAAGTACGAGGGGGCCGTCGCCTGGGTGGAGAAGGCGAAGCAGCAGTGGCAGGAGGCTGAGCACTACGCGATGGAGCAGGCCACCGCGCTGGCGGAGGCCGAGGCTGAGGAGGAAAGGGTACGCGCCAGCCTGGCGCCCACACCCAAGCTGACCGCTCCTCCCCCAGCCGCAGCTGGCATCGACTTGCTGGCGCTCTTGGAAGGTGAAGACATTTCTATATGTGAAGGAGATTTGCTCGACCTGGACACTCAGGGCGACGGTTACGAAGGCGCCGGCGAACTTCTCGACCAATGGAAGCAGAAGAAAGAACAGCTGGGCGCCTTCATCAAGCAGCTGGCCACCGATCACTTCAAGCCTATGGCCGAGCAGGCCAAGGCCGAGGTGGACGCTATTCGTGGCCAACGCCAGCGCCTGATCTCCCACAAGCGCAAGAAGGGCAGTGACGGCGCCCCTCTCGCGGGCGCTCCTGCTGAGCCCGCGGCAGCGGCATCGTCGTCGCAGACTCAGAAGACCGCCGAGGCCACCGCGTGATCACAGTCACAGGAGACGAAGGAGAAGATCAGCGCGCGCACCGCAGAGCTGATCGCAGCGGGCAAGGACACGAGCAAGGGCGACACTGCCACCGACGGCGGCACGGGCGCTTGACACGCCCCAGCCCAGGAGCTCGCTGCGTCAACAAGGAGCTCGTGGGCGCTGAGGCTCCCACATCTACACCTACGAGTACGGCTACATCAGCGACTTCTCTGTCATCTTCCGAGCTGGGGTTGAAGAAAGCTGAGACTCCTGCTCCAACGACCCCTGGCTACGCTCACGTCAGAGGAGCTTCTCATACGACGGCGCAGAGTGGGCCAGGAAGCTCTGGGGCAGGCGAATCGGCTGGAGACCCTCAGCCGCTCGCACCTTGTCCTCAAGTTCTACCTGGTTCTCCCGCAGGCAGGGCAGGCTCTGAGAAGTCGCTCAAAATCTACATGCGCAATATCACCAAGTGGGGCCCCAAGGCGGTGGACTAACTGAAGAAAGATTGTCAGCAATACGACGCTGTTGGCCCTTGCGAACACCACAGAGGGCCTGAAGACATGGACGACCTGGGCAACGACATGGCGAAGGCAGGATGGCGCCCAGTTCTCTCGCCCGCTATGCCAAGGGACAACATTCGCAAGGCTGGAGGAACATTGCTGGCCGTCAAGCGTGGGCTGAATGTGCTCCCACATCTGCTCATCTTGCGTCTCACATCTCACAGCGTCATGGCACCACAAGCGATGGAGGAAAGAAGGAGCTCGGACATGGCCCTGTCGATTTCCACGATTTTTTCGACTGTGAATAACCGCACATCTTGGCAGCAGATCGTAGTTGTGCAAATGTACCTCGACCACGGCATCGGAGCACGAGGCAGAAACCTATGCAAGCTTCGCACGATCGGCGGCTTCCTATCGACACAAGCTGCCCCATGGACTGCTTTCGGCGGCTGGAATGTCGAGCCTACGGACCTCAACACCTGGATGGAGAAGCTGGCGGCAGTTCAAGTCTTACCCGGGAACGTTGCTGGCGTGACAAGCTTTGTTGGCGATGGCAGGCTCTACGACTTCGCCGCGTGCTCCAGGGGCCCCCGCCCGCTCGCGAGGAGCACGCTGTCGATCACGGATGGCGAATGGAAGGCGCACGGAGCCCTGCAGATCACGCTGGGCCTGAATCCTTCTGACTCGGAGCACCGCGCTTGCGTGGTGCCCAAGCCTTTTCCGCACACAGCTCCGGCCAAGCGTGCGCCTGACCCTGATAGTAAGTCTAGCCTCCGAGAGCGTGGCCAGAAATCCCGCTCCCAACCGGCCAGAACCAAAGTTTCGAAGCCTCCGCGAGGCGCCGAGGGGGCCCCAGGATTTGGAGATTCTGAGGCCCCTTTCGATCCCCTGCCAGCGGTAGGCGCCGCTCCTGATGACGACTTTGACCTCCCTGAGGTCGGCCAGGCCCCCGATGCCCCAATTGGCCTGTTGCCAGATAATCCCGCTCCTTCCTCCGATCCTCCTCCTCCTCTTGACACTCGTCTCCTGGAAGACGTCTGGGCACGGACCCTCCCAGATAAGCGAGTGCAGCGAGAGATCGATCGAGGAGCCCCTTCGGAGATCCGCGGCTGTTTCGGGTATCTTGCGGACCCCGTGGCTTCCGAACAGCTTGCCGTAAGACTCGGTACGCGGGCTTCTCGCATGGAAAGCTTCTACTGCGAAGCTTACGCTAATCCGCCTGACGCCCAGCCTGCGTTCAAAGGCCGAGGCGTTGTGCAGCCAATCCAGGTTACAAGCAGGAAGACTGCCCCGTTGCAGTCTATGCACAATGATTGTAACTGGCGGGCTGCGTTGAGTTCCCATTGGTCATTGCTTGGACGAGTCAGAGAAAAGTCAGGCTCGACCCGAACCCCAGAGCAGTTGCACGCAGAAATTGTACTAGAACCACGCGCGCGCTTCGCGCGCGCTTAGGTTCTGTCGAGTCACAGACCCAGGAATCGTTGCGAGAAGAAATTGGTGACGCGAAGCGTCTTGGGGGCGTCCTTGGACGTCTGGGGTCTCCTGGGGCCTCTTGAGGGGCCTCCTTGGGGCCTTCTTGGGCTCCATCTGGAAGCCAAGATGGATGCAACAAGAGGGTGCTTGGGCTCTCCGTGAGCTATCCTCTGGTTTTCATTCCCCTGGAGAGGAGAAGGAGGAGGAGGAGGAGGAGGAGGAGGAGGATGAGAAGGAGGAGGAGGAGGAAGATGCAGAGGAGGGAGGAGGAGGAAGGAGAGGAGATGTTGGGGCGCTCTTGGGGCCCTCTTGGGCTCTCTTGGGGCTCGTCGGGGCCCTCGTGGGGCCACCTTGGGCTCCTCTCGGAGCTCCAAGAGGAGCCCACAGAGGGGCCCAACATCGGTCACGCGAGAGCTCTTTCGCGTGACCGATGTTGGGGCCCTCTTGGGGCCCTATTGGGCCTCCTTGGGCCCTCTTGGGGTCTCGACGGGGCCCTCGTGGGGCCATCTTGGGCTCCTCTCGGAGCACCAAGAGGAGCCCAAAGAGGGGGCCCAACATCGGTCACGCGAGAGCTCTTCCGCGTGACCGATGTTGGGGCCATCTTGGGGTTCCTTGGGCCTCCTTGGGCCCACGTGGGGCTCCCTCGGGGCCCTCGTGGGGCCATCTTGGGCCCCTCTTGGAGCTCCAAGAGGAGCCCAAAGAGGGGCTCAACATCGGTCACGCGAGGGCTCTTCCGCGTGACCTATGCTGGGGCTCTCTTGGGTCCCTCTTGGGCCTGCTTGGGTCCTCTTGGGGTCTCGTCGGGGCCCTCGTGGGGCCATCTTTGGCT